GTTTTTCTCTCAGGATTTTGTGTAATCCTAACAGCATCCAAGCCACTACAACAGAATGTCTCTTCCTTCTTTTTTATCCAGATTAACTGATTATTTTCCAGTTTTGCTTCTTCCTATAATCTTACAAAAATGAGGTGTTCATCTCTCACACATTCTGATTATAGACTGATCCATTTTTCCAGCTCCATTTCCTATATTGTATTCTGTGTATGACTTCAACTCTACTCAATAAGTAATACCACTAAAAAAAAAAGTCTCTTGATGATTTAGAACATAAATCAGTGCTCTCCAGAATTCTATGTGAAAAGAATCTTATAGACAGTTTTTAATAGCATATATTCATGGACTATGTATCTTTTGATTGAGACACACACAAACTGGAAAAATCCCTTAAAACAAAAATAGTTATGTTGTTATAATAGACAGTCATGTGTAGAATGTATTTTCTAAACAGAATATTGTTAACTATATATAAATAATATAGTTTACTTACCAAATGAGCAATAGGGTCAGATTTTAAAATTGTAGAAAATTTCAGATTTTGGCACTACAAAAATATTGTTCAAGAATTGGGTTTCACATAAAAGTGTTAAATTTAAAGAAAAAAAAAGGACTCTTCAGCAGTTCAAATCCCTTAACTTTCTGACATCAAAAGCGTTGCTATTTGGGTTGGGTATTTAATTTTCTATATTACATATTGAAACTTCACTGCCTTCCACATCTTCTTTTCTTTTAGAAGTGATACAGCTTAAGTCCAAATATTTCCCCAGACAAAGAGATGAGTGTCACACACAACTTCTAACCCAGGTAGTTAACCATTCTGGTCTTATACAGTACAGCTCATGACACTGTTCTATTTAACGACTCTAACAGTGTTAGTTTCATATTCAGTAATGAGTTGATTGTTCAGTGTTGTGATGGTTTGGATAAGCATCTCCTGAAGATTCACAAGTTCAAGAATCAGTCTCCAACCAATACCACTGCTAGGAAGTGGTGAAAAAGTTGAGATGGTAGTTAATGGGATGTTTAAGGTCACTGAGGTCATGCCCTAGGGGTGGAATGGGGTGCTCTGACCATTTCTAACCTCCCTTTGATGCCCCAGCCATTCCCACCATGATGTGTGACTTTGCCACCAGCACAAAAGAAACAGGGCCAAGGATCATTGACTGAACTCCTTAAAACTGTGCCAAAGTAAACTTCTCTCTTTGCATTGCTTCCCTTAGGTATTTTGTAACAGTAATACAAAGCCGACTGACACAGAGATCCATGTCAGGAGGACCACATTAGGACAAACATCTGTTTTATATTATTTATGCTTTAATTTAAAGCTTGCAATATTTCTTCATTTTTAAGTACTTAATGTACTCATAAACCCAATGAAGCTCTGATGAGGTTTTCAACCTCTTGAGTCATCTGTAAGTCATTAATGGGCTCTTTTCTCAATTTCTAAACCTGTCTTTAAAATGTGTTATATCTTTTAAGCATCCAAGTGCATGTTTATTTGAAAATAAACATCTATGAAAAAGACAAATAATAAAATGGTGAGAGTACTGTCTGATCACCTTTTTTAAAAATTAAGTATGTGCAGACTGTAAACTAAAGCCATTCTGTGCACACATGAAAGGGATTTGAGCAGTATCATTTTTGTGGAGAGCCTGAACATGAATGCCTCAGAGAAACACTTGTCCAACTACTCATTTTGCTGCTTGTCTGTGGTGTTCTTAGCTTTTCCACTCACTGATGGGTTCCTCATACTCGCTGCTCTACTCTACCATCAGCTTCAGGGATCTGACACCCCACATCTGTCCCTGGGTAGAACCCAAGGCCAGTGTGTTGGCCTTATTTAGATTGTCCTTCCAAGTAGTTACCACCATCCCCCAATTTGTTCTACTTTTTATTTTATTTTTATTATCAAATTAAAGTTTGGGTCCCCCACACTTGCATCCATTTTCCCCTCCTGGTTGATTTTGAGATTTCAATGAGCCTTGGTTCTCATAACTTAAGCATAGTATTTTAACTAAGAAATGTGTTACTATGAAGATTGCAAACTCTCTGGCAATTGTGGGATTCCAACCTGTACTTCTCCAAACCTTTACTGAAAAAGAAATCTCCAAGCTCTCTTTCTATATACTTCATTACTACTTGTTCTAATAAAAGGTTTCACAAACTTCAGCCAATCTTGAAAGATCATTACAACAAAGTCACACTCATAGTCTGAAGCTTCGTCTGTTGTTTCTATCCCTACAAATCCAGCCTAAAAGAGCCGTGCTAAAATGGCGTGTCCTACTCATAAAATTATCCACTTCTAATATCCAAAATGTCAAGGGCCAAATCTTCAGAACCTTCTGGTTCCCTCAATATTTGATGTCACAAGAATTTATTAATCTTAGTTCCTGTACTCACCAAGCTAGTTCTCCTCTCTCTCTCTCTCTCTCTCTCTCTCTCTCTCTCTCTCTCTCTCTCTCTCTCTCCCCCTGGACCCTGCCTGCCTGCCTGCTGCCATGATGATAATTGACTAACCCTCTGAAACTGTAAACAAACCTCCAATTAAATGCCTTCTTCTTTAAATTGCCTTGATCACGGTGTCTCTTTACATCAATAGAACAGTAACTAAGACATATGGCCATTCCACAACTAAATGGGGTTTATTTATAATTAAATATACCCAAGCTGAAATAAACTTAATAAGAGATTCCATGGTAACAAATGATTTCTGGATATAAGAATGTTGATACTCAAATGAGGAAAGCAAGACTAAGCTGTACAGATATTTCAACTTGACATTTCATGAGAGTGGTAAAACTATTGCCTATAACAAGAGCACATGAGACCCAACTCTATAGTAGGAAATGTTGAGTCTATGTACTCATAATCCCAGTACACAGACAATAAGATCTTAGCTGCTAGTTGGGATCAGTCGGTGCTTGTTGGCTGGGAAAGATTTTAAACCCCATCTGTAAGATTATCTTTTGGACAGAAGGAACTTTGAAGTCAGATCTATACGTTTAAATTTTCTGAAAAAAAAGATAATAAATAATATGCCTTCAGTTTAAAGGTTACTTCTCCAAACTACCTCACCTCCTAACCACAGGGGGTTTTGTTTTATGATTTCTTTGAGTTGTTTTCCTCTTTTCCAGAATGCTTTTTTCACAGTAACAGTTGGGGCTTGGGGGTGATAGTTGAGCGGGATGTTTCTTTCACACCATAGCGTAGGTTCTACCAGAGCAAAAACATTCTGATTTAGTTCACTCCTTCCTTCCCACTGATATTACTCAGCTCTTCCAATATTGTGGGATGGAGGAACGCTCCTCAGGATTGGTGGAGAATGATAAAGTAGATGAGATACTAACCACATCAAGACTTAGAAGCACATGAGTGTGCCTATGTGTGTCAGTGTCTAAGGTACTATGGTTAGCTCACAGAAAATAGTCCATAAATGTTAGCTAAAAAAAAAAAAATCCTTGCCAGAAGTATAAATTGGAATTGAATATCTTTGTCACACAGAAATAAAGACAGTCCTTCTAGTTCATTCATCAGCTCTGGATCTGTCTGAGTGTTCGAATCTTTCCACTCCAGCATCCCATTAGGCCAGGGGAGCCCGGAGCCCCGCCTCTCCGTACTCTAACCCCCAACAGGACTTTCCTTATAAGTTTGGAATTTTAAATTCAGAATTGCTACTCCCAATTCTAAACATACCTTCTAAATCTCAGCATCTCTCCCCTAAGCAACCAGAATAAGCAACGGCCTGTGAGCGTAGGCAAAATTAGCTGCATGAAACAGCATTCTGTCTTCCAGGCTCGGTTTCCATTTCACCCATGTTGCCTGAGAATTCTAACAGAACTGTAGCAACAGGCGGGGAATTAAAAGGGACAGCTAAACGCAACTTAGAATTATGACTTCGCCATGAATTGGGTCTAACAGGTTGTATGCCAGTCTGCAGTAGGTGTTCAGTGAGCAAGTGCTGAAACAAATAGGGAAGAAGATGAGAAAAAAGAAAAAGAAAAAAGTATCTCAAGGAGTGTTGGCATTGACTGTCTCTTCCCCTAAAGATCCCAGCTCTGAGCAGTGTTTTAAAAGGCTACAGTTATAGTAAAAAAAAAAAAAAAAAAAAACCTTTTCTCAAAGAGAACAAGCCTCTATCGTGGGGAGGAGAGAGATGAAAGAAGAAAACAGAGAGAAGTGAAATGAGAGAAAGCGAGAGGGAGAGAGAAGGAAGGGAGAAGACCCCAAGATACTAGACAGGAAGCAATGTTTGCTGCAAAAATGCAAAGGCACAGTTCAGCTGACAGAGTGCTGGGGAGTTGATCCAACGCTCTGTGAACATGGCTTGGAGGAATCTTATCATCTGGGGAAGAGGCGGCAGGAGGATCAGAAGTTCAGAGTCATCCTCAAGTACGCAGGGAGTTCCAGGTCAGCACATGAAACTGTCTCAAAACTATACACACAGATGTGCTTCCGGTCTTGAGGGTGTAACCCTTCTCTCTCTCTCTCTCTCTCTCTCTCTCTCTCTCTCTCTCTCTCTCCATTCTTGGCGGGAAATGTCCTGGAAGTTTGGAGAGAGGGAAAAAAAAAAAAAAAAACCTCTTTACATCTTCACTTAGAAAGAGAAGGAAAGAGAAATTCAACTGTTGATAGAAAAAGTATTACTTTAAATGTTTTAGCTGTGCCTGTCAGAAAAAATAAAGAGAGAAGAAATGTCAAAGTCAGGGAAGGATGAAAAGGAGGAGGCGTGCAATAAAGAAAACCCAGCCCGAGAGTGTACTGTGCCATCTGTTGATTCTCCTCTCCTCTCCCTGGTTCCCGTAGCTTCCAAAGTTTCGAGATGAGCAAGGGGACTTTCCATTCGCAGACCCACAGAAAGACGACTTGCACAGGGATGTCCCAATGGGGACCCCTGGGAGCCGCCCCGCAGCGAAGCCGCCCTTCCTTCCCGGGTCTATCCTTCTTGGAGCAGAAAGGAGGGCGGAGAGCCAGCGCCTCCCCTGCCTGGGCCCGCCCTCAGCCAGCAAGCATGGATCTCGGGCTGGGGCTGCCTGGCGAGTAGAGGGAGAAGGCACAGAGAGCCAGAACTAAGTCAGCCACCCAAGCTCATGCAGGGGCAGCTGCAGCACCCACAGGGGACGCGTGTGCTGGCGGTCACAGGCCAGGACCCGGTGAGTGTTCCCAAGCGCTGCGGGGCAGAGACGGAATTGCCTAAGAGGTGGGAAGGCCAGCTAGCTCTAGGGCAGGATCTTTTCTCACTTAACTGACTGGAGGGGGGTGTCAAGGAGACTGACTAACCCACAGCGGAAGATGGGGAAATAGCCCCCCAAAAAGTGCGGAAGGCAGCCAGCCAGAAGCAGGTCCCCCAGGCTCAGCCTGTCATCCATCCAGAAGCAGGGAGTCAGGCTCAGAGCAACTTGGCAAGGCTTCCCGGGTGCCGGGGCGCTGGACTGATGCCAGTCCCACCACCTCTGGTGCCTGCCTGCACATGGGCACAGTCCTACTCCCCGACGAAGCAGGGGACTATGTGAAGCCCAAAGTCACTGTCCTGTGCGGCTATCAGTTCCTCTCGTTTGTTCTTTTTTCTTCGTGAGAACTTTTGGGCGAAGACACTAAATTTTTTTTGTGGAAGCTGCTGGGCGGTGCTAGAAGAGAAAAAGTGCGAACTGATGGAGAGGACCTGCGCCCTTCTAGTTTTTTCAGCATCCACCGGTTAAACCATCACCTCCAGAGGACTGAAGTTGTGACAGCTGGGAGGGGAGCAGGATTCCGTTGCAGCCTTCAGCTGACTTTACCCCTCCGCATGCATGAGTGTGCCAGCAGCAGCAGAGGGGGCAGGGTTCTGTGTGTGGAGTCTCTGCTGGGACCCGAGTGAATGGCCCCCAGGGACAGCGCGGAGCCTCTGCCTCCGCCACCTCCTCAGGGCTGGGCGTGGCCTGGAAAGATAGTGGTGATGGGTGCCCTGGCAGGCTTCTGGGTCCTCAGCCTGCTCACCTATGGTTACCTGTCCTGGGGCCAGGGTTTAGAAGAAAAGGGGGCCCTGAGAACGGAAGACGGAGAGAGATCTGAACCGGGCTCCACGGCCACCTCCCAGCCCCATCTCATTTTCATCTTAGCTGATGATCAGGGATTTAGAGATGTGGGTTACCACGGATCTGAGATAAAGACGCCCACTCTTGACAAACTCGCCGCCGAAGGAGTTAAACTAGAGAACTACTATGTCCAGCCTATTTGCACGCCGTCCAGGAGCCAGTTTATTACCGGAAAGTAAGTGTTGCCACTTCTATTTATTATTTGGAAACATCTTAAGCCTTTATTTAAAACTTCTTTCTCATTCAAGGGAGGAACAGAAAGCATTGGTGTGTGTATGGGGAGCCAATGAATGAAAAAAAATGAATGGATGAATGTGTGCAGTCCCTCGATAATGGTGTTAATAGCCAGGTCCTACTCTCCTCCCTTTTCTTTCCCTGACAGCCAGCTGTGAGCTTTTGAATGGTGTCAGGGTTTTTACATTCATCCACTAACCCGAGAACTCCATGTTTGCTGCTTCCAAATCTGTTTCGATTCTCAAGCATGTTCACATTTCGTTTCAAGTATCAGAACAGAAATCACACAGCAAGGTGTCCTTTTACAACTCTTAATTTGTTACAAAATCTCGAACTGCGTGACCCAAACCCCCAGGTCATCACAGATAGAACAGAGGCCACAAAAGCAGAGAAAAGGTGACATAGAACGTGAGGAGGGTGGAATGTGACTCTGCCAGGATCTTTCCTATTATGATGTCATATCTAACTGCCAAGACAGTTCTCAAGATGCAGCTGAGTTCAGTGGAATTTGCTGCTGCTTCTCCCAACTGAGGAAGAAGTCTGAGTAAGTGTCATAGCTCATGGGATTGAAACATTTTTAATGCTGTCAGCAGTCTGCTAAATAACTACTCTTGTTAAGGGGTTCGTACATTTTCCTGTTTTTACTTTGTCAGTCTATACATGATAATAACTGGTTTTCATGGTGCAAATTCAGTTTGGAAGTCAGGTAAAGCAAGAGGGTCAAGGGTCAAGCTTCTCCTAAACAATCCATGGCTTCAATCTATACTCCTTGTGATTTTCAGGACAGAGAACCCTTGCTTCAAGTGAAGTTGTTCTTGGAATTAGATCCCGTAAGAGTAGCCAGTAACCAGCCTGGAAAAATTAAGACTACAGTGTTTTGTAGGAATCTCTGTCTTGCAAAGACTTTTGCTTACAGCATAATTTCCACTGCTTAGCAAACTGTCAAAATTTACCATCACTACCAGAAAAATTTTTTCATCCTTAGCAAGAAGAGGTAGAGCAGGGCATGGTGGCACACGTATTTAAACCCAGCATTCAGGAGTCAGAGGCAGACAGACCTCTGTGAGTTCAATGTCAGTCTAGTCTACATAGTGAGTTCCTGGTCATTCAGAGTTACAAAGTGAGATCCTAGCTCAAAAGTAAAAAAGAAAGAAAGAAAGAAAGAAAGAAAGAAAGAAAGAAAGAAAGAAAGAAAGAAAGAAAGAAAGAAAGAAAGAAAGAAAGAAAGAAAGA